TTTATAATATGTGACTTGTAGTATTACAACGTTCCCGCCTTACCTAATTATAACTTTTACGTTTTAAAATTTAACAAGAGAACGAGTACACTTTTTATGTCCGAAGATCTTGGTTTCTGTACTGAACTTGCTATATTACAACTGATAAAATCAAAACCTTACTTGGAACGAAGAAAACAATATGTCGGTATACAACCAGATTAACTCTGCGGTCCTGTTTACACCAGCAGAAAATGACATCCCTAATAACACAGCGTAGTGGACGCCAAATAATGGTACCAGCACCAACGTGGACCGAAACCACTTTCTGCAATGAAAACAACAGACCTTTTCAAACTTCTTTTGGCACTAGACACTAAACAGTGTTACTCAAACTACAACAGACTCTAAACAATGTTACTCAAACTACAACAGACCTAAACAATGTTACTCAAACTACAACAGACTCTAAACAATGTTACTATAACTACAACAGACTCTAAACAATGTTACTCAAACCACAACAGACTCTAAACAATGTTACTCAAACTACAACAGACTCTAAACAATGTTACTATAACTACAACAGACTCTAAACAATGTTACTCAAACTACAACAGACTCTAAACAATGTTACTATAACTACAACAGACGCTAAACAATGTTACTCAAACTACAACAGACTCTAAACAATGTTACTATAACTACAACAGACTCTAAACAATGTTACTCAAACCACAACAGACTCTAAACAATGTTACTCAAAACCTACAACAGACTCTAAACAATGTTACTCAAACCACAATAGACAATAAACAATGTTGCTAAAACAACAACAAACAGAAAACAATGTTACTAAAACAACAATAGACACTAAACAATGCTACTAAAACTACAACAGACAATAAATAATGTTACTAAAAATACAACAGACAATAAACAATGTTGCTAAAACAACAACAAACAGAAACCAACGTTACAAATCCCATACATTTTCTGCAATAAAAATCAATATATATATATATATTTCACGTGTGATCCAGTACTAAATACTGAGCCACGTTGCAGAAAGCAACATGGACAAGAGCTGCTATTAAAAATAATAAAAAAGTTCCACTTTATATATTCTGTAGCAACAGACAGTAAACAACGGTTCTAGCAACAGACAGTAAACAACGGTTCTAATAACAGACAGTAAACAAAGGTTCTAGCAACAGACAGTAAACAACGGTTCTAACAACAGACAGTAAACAACGGTTCTAACAACAGACAATAAACAACGGTTCAAGCAACAGACAGTAAACAACGGTTCTAGCAACAGACAGTAAACAACGGTTCTAACAACAGACAGTAAACAACGGTTCTAGCAACAGACAATAAACAAAGGTTCTAGCAACAGACAGTAAACAACGGTTCTAACAACAGACAGTAAACAACGGTTCTAACAACAGACAGTAAACAACGGTTCTAGCAACAGACAATAAACAACGGTTCAAGCAACAGACAGTAAACAACGGTTCTAGCAACAGACAATAAACAACGGTTCTAACAACAGACAGTAAACAACGGTTCTAACAACAGACAGTAAACAACGGTTCTAGCAACAGACAATAAACAACGGTTCTAACAACAGACAGTAAACAACGGTTCTAACAACAGACAGTAAACAACGGTTCTAGCAACAGACAATAAACAACGGTTCTAACAACAG